CCCTCAACAGTCTGCAGAATCCCCTAACTGATTACACTGTAAGTGATAATCCACCTTAACCCTGGCTGTGGTTAAGCATCAACGACTGCCCGACAGCTGATACCCTGAGGTGGGCATTAACCACTGCCCTCACAGCAGTGGTCCAGCAAGTGCAAGGCAGAATGAATGGCTGAGCTGCGGTGGGCCCGTCCTTCATAGCATTTGAGTTGGCCTGCCTCTCCCCCATGCACAAACGTCTGAGGTTTTATGGCCTGAGCGACTGAGATGGTTTGGCCTGAGGGGCTGAGACTTGGCTGTGGCCCCAGGCTGCCTTGACCCCGTAGGCCCTGGGTGCTTCAGGAAATGGTTTCTGAGTTCTTGGATTTGTGTGTGATCTGTTGCCGTGTTTGACTTGTAGAGAAATCTTCGACTCTTGGACTGCAACAATTCCCAAGCATTCACAATAGTTATTCGGTCGTAAACTCTGACTGTTGACTTTACCGGTGCCTGAGTTGACATTTCCACACCCTGGGGATTAAGCCTGGATGCTCAACCCCTAGCCTACCGACCTGAGGACCCAACAGCCTGATGTTCAACCCTAAGGCTTCAACTTGGCCAGCTACTATGATCCAACAGCCTGAGGTTTGGCACTGAAACTTCAACTTGGCGAACTACTATGACCCAAAAACTATTGCGATGCTGGTTTTGATTACGGTGCTTTGCATATTTCTTTAGAAAAAACAAACGAGAAAAAGAAAATGCACGAGGATGTCCTTCGGGGCATCTGTTAAAATTGGAACGATACAGAGAAGATTAGCATGGCCCCTGCGCAAGGATGACACACATAAATATTAAATAGAGATGTGGTCCCACTTAAAAAAAACAAAAAAAAAGTGAAAAAGAATGCACGTGGATGTGCAGATGCTCAACGGCATGATCTACACCTGGATGTGCTCATTTTCAGGTTCATTCTGACTGGGTTTGGATATCCTAAGCATGAGATGGCTAATTTTGATATACACCTCACCATTTGTGCTTCTTCCGTCCCTTCTGGAAAGCATGGGACGCCTTATTTTGACGTTGGTGCCTTTTTAAGGCTGCCCCTGAATATGAACTTTATGAAGATGTTTAGGTACGTTATTTGCACCAGGTGCATTTCACACAGAGACATTCTCACAAATAAGCTGAAGAATGCAGCACACATGTCATCGAGTCTTATTTCATGAGTCTGAAACTTGGCCATAATGAAAGCGAAAAAGAAAGGGAAAAGGAAGTGCTTGGTCCTTTAAAATTATGAAATGGCTGGTTCAGTTTACTCTACATTCAATCGTAAATGTCTCAACAGACGAACTGAAGGACATGATGTGGCATTGACATGCAAGTTGGCCTCTCCATAGATTGATATGGGAACAATGTTATCACACATTCAAGTTGGCGCTTTTCATCATCAGCTCCCCGATGTTGGAATGAAGAGTTCAGAGTGAGCGAAGGAGGGAGTCAGAAAGAATTCTTGTTGCAGGAGGGAGGGAGTGGAACACCTTGCCTTACTGACGACACCAGCCGGATCACCACTTGGACGAGCACTCTGAATGTATTATTGACATTGCAGAGAAGAAAACTGAGCACAAAGGGTACCGAAGGAGGAACAGAGTCGCTGCATGGCAGGGGGACAAGTTAGCCTTATGTTTGCATCGCACGAATCATAGAACTTGCAGAATGCCTAGATCACAAGGACACGAGAACAAAGAGTTGGTTTGATCTGCGCTTGCTTCCAGGCACTTGCCGTCTGCGTTGACCTAAGCGACGAGAAAAGGGGAGGGCAACACGCAGAGAAGAAGCAGCACGAAGGGTTAAGTACAACTGGGTGTCATCACACTGGCTGGGGGGATGAGAAAATCTTGACAAAGAACTAATCATAGGGCAAGAAAAGGGAAAGCTCCGGGTTTGGAGGTCCGCTGCAGGATGGTAATCTGCGGCTGGAAGCAGAGCTTGGGACTCAGCAATCTCAGCTCCAAGATATCCATGAGTACCTAACCAGTGAACTTAGCCATCAAGAGCACACGATCCGGGAGCTGGAAGCCGCTGTTGAGGCGGCACTAAACGAAAACGAGCAGGAGCAGAGGGAAGCACAGCCATGCCTCCACAAACAGCAAATAAAAGTGACCGGGGGATGGGGCCAGGGAGTGCGCAGGAAATTTTGGAGAAAGAACTGATCATAGGTCAAGTAAAGGGAAAGCTCCGGGTTGTGGAGCTCCGCCGACGCCGGCTGCAGGATGATAATCTACGGCTGGAAGCAGAGCTGGGGACTCAGCGATCTCAGCTCCAAGATATCCACGAGTACCTAACCAGTGAACTCAGCCATCAAGAGAACACAATCCGGGAGCTGGAAGCTGCTGTTGAGGCGGCACTCAAGGAAAAAGCACTAGTTGTGGACTCTCTCACTCGAAGGCTGGCAGAGATCGAGGCCTATCATACAGGAATCGTAAATGAAATGCAGGTGTGCTTCACACTCTCCTGAACTTCCTGCAAATTTTCATGGTGGTAAATACCAACCACGAAACCAATCTGCGATGATAGTCTGGTGGGTGGACGGTGCATGCTCTGCTCACCATGATGCAAGACTTCACAAAATTATTCATACAGTTCACAAAATCATTAATATTTCACAATCCTTGGTAAACTGTTCCATAGGTGCAGATGGCGGCATCCCACTGCACGAACCCATGGTTTTGCCGCAACCCGGGAGCTGTACCATAAATGCAAATACTGTAAACTTGTGCGTGTTTTTAGTTTTACCCTCGTTATTTTGAAAGCCGTTTATTTATTATCGCAATAGGCCTTGGGAAACATTTCTGCGATTCCTGCTACTGGAACAGGTGAGTAAACATTTTGCTGAAAAGGATTAGCGGACACCCGATGGGCCAAGAAGTAATGCACTGGTTTCTGCCTGGAAAGAGGAAAGATGTAGCAGCATCGGCCCACGGAAAGTTCTATCTCGGACGCAGTTCCAGGCCCAGAGGCCAGTCAGCTGGCAAGTGACAACGTATTTTGGTCCAGACAGTCCAGTTCAACAAACATTGGTGGATACCTTGGAGCTGAAGGAAGTTGCACCTCAGCGCCCTTGGCTTCCCCTTCCCTGCAAATCTCGTGCTGTCAAGGGAGTGCACATGTATGAAGAGGAATGCTCATGCTTATGTTGAGAGTTGCCAGGTTTGTCAAAAGGACAAACTGCACGTACAAACGACTTTTGGCTCATTTCAGCTTCCCTCTTCCCCTCCTGGTCCTGGCCGGTCAGTGGCCATGGACTTCATGGATACACCTGTGAATAGCAGATGGAAAACCGACAATTTCTCTTCTCTTCTCTATCTCTATACTCTTAAAGCAGTATAAAGCAAGCAAAGGGCCCAGCGTGACGCGTCCCGCCGGGCCCAGCGAAAATCAGTGCGGAGGCGCGCGGGACTCAGGCAAGGAAACCTGGCGTGGCGTTTCGTGGAGGCCTGGGGCAAGATCAGTGCGGAGGCGCGCGGGACTCAGGCAAGGAAACCTGGCGCGGTGTTTTGTGGAGGCCGGGGGCAAGGGAATAAGGGTGCGCCGGGCGGCGGTGGTACCCCAGGCGAATAAGGGTGCACCGTTAATAAGGGTGCGCCATTTCGCGGCGGTACCGCAGGCGCCGCTGTGTGCGAGTGCAAAAGCGCTGTGTGAGTGCGGAAATGCGGTGCGGAGCCGAGTGCTGCCGTTCGCGAAAGTGCGGTCCGCTACCGAGTGCTGCCGTGTGTGACCGCGAAAGCGCGGTGGTGTGTGTGTGTGTGTGTGTGTGTGTGTGTGTGTGTGTGTGTGTGTG